TTTTTTTTAAAACCCCCCCCCCCGGGCCGGGCCCCGCCGGTGTCTGCCGCTTTCCCGGATTCCCCCACGCTTGGCCGCCGCCAGCGCCCAGCCCCCAGCCGCGGCCGGGCGAGAGCGCGGCCCTGGCCCTGGGGGATCCCGCCGGGGGTGCCCCGCGGCCCGCTGGCTCTGGCACCGGCGTTTTGCTGCGGTGGGAGGGGCTTTCTGCTCGCCCAGAAGCCCGAGCCTGAAATACTGCTCGTTACGCTTGTTAAAATTCACGGGAGGGGGAAAATCTACTGTATGTGGCTTCTTGTGCTGCTTTGCAGTGCATTTGGTGTTAGTGTTGTGGATTGTTGGGTTTTTTCTCCCTCCTAAATATCTCTTCATTGTAGAAGTGATGAAGTAGTAAGGTTTTAAGGAACAAAGACTGAGAAAGTAAAATTTTAAATTAAGACTAATAGAAGCACAGGTCTTGAAATGTAAAGCCCTCATCTGTCTCCTGCTCCTTGAGCTAGCTGTATAAGTGCCATATAATATCTAGAAGTCCTGAAATTCTATGAAGAATATGAGTTTATCATCTTGACCCCTTTTTATTTAAGGCATTTGCTTGAAGGTCTCCATAGAAAGAAACAAAACTTATTTAAGTAAGAATGTATATGTATGTGTGTGTGTGTGTATACATATGTATTTATGTTATTTTATGAGTTTAGCCTGAAGCCAAATTTGTGCCGCTTCTAGGCTTTCATAACAGATGCGGTCAAGCTTAGGAAGGCTTCTGCTCTTATCTGAAAGGTGAAGGTAGTTTTCATCACGATCATCTCATTATTGCAGCTATGTTTCAGATTTTTAAGATGCTATTGCTTCCTTTGAAAAATCCTAAACAGAAGTGTCTGACTAAGTAAAGTGTTCAGATAATGCCCCAGACTTAAACTGGTGCTCTTTAGTATTTAAAATACAAAAGTGTTTATAGCAACAGTGTTTATAGTGTAGCTTTAATGTAAAATTACCTTTTAAAGGTCTTCTTCAAATAACTTAATAGCATGTGGTTTGTTTATTGAAAAATAGCGGTGTACGTGGGGGATGGGCAATATAGGTGATGCTGTCTGTCTTGAAGATGAGTAGAAATTGACTGAAGAAAAGTGCTGTTAACTGGTGTTTGAAATTCTTTTTAAATGAGTAGTGGTAACTCACTGGTGTGCTGAGAGAGCTCTGCTTTCAAGGAGGTCCTCATGTGTTGGCCTGCAAAGGTTAGAGAAGTGACACATTTTTACCATTGTATTATACATCAGTTTGGGAAAACGTTCTAATACAATTTGACAGACCATGTCCTATAATTAAAAAAGGAAAAAAATGTCCTTCGAGACTGTTTTCGCAAAAAAATTGTGATAGCTGTTTTATTGTAGAATGCTACTTAGTAGCATGTCTAAGCAGGGTGGTGATTAATGGTTTCAAATTTAAAGTACTCTCAGTCCATAAGTCTTTGTAAGAGTATCAGTGTGTTGATTCTGTCATGCTTTTTCTTCATGACACTGTTTTGGCACAGTTGGGTGCTTAGAACTCAAATATAACAAAGTGGGGGTTAGCCAAAACCCTTTGTTAACAAAGTTATGAATTGGTAAGGCTTCAGATGTTTTTCTGTTTCTTGGAGTATAAAAGAAAAAGTTAAAGTAGGTGAAGAAGTTGTTAAGAAAATATGGCCTATAAGCTATTCTTTGGTTCCTAGACCAATTAATTCACAGTTGTTAGTAATGATCAGCTGACTGTTTTGGTGATTATGTTTCTGAAGCTTGGAAAAGAAGAAAAAAAAATTCGAAACCTGCTACCCTACTTCTTGGCTGTTCCTGAAAGAGCTCTTTGGCTTGGCATCTTTGACAACAATGTTTGGATGTGTGGTTTTTCATTTCTAGGGGTCATGTAGTGTGTTCTGTATTATTTTCACTTGCCCTGACCATCCCTCTGTTTACATTTCATCTCCTGTGTGTTTCACAGCAAAGGACCTTGTGGCTGTGATAAGTACACTCTACTTTCTTACTAAGTAGAAAGAAGGCAGGCTTCTTTAGCAAAGTTATTACTGGATGCAAACTGCCTAAATATCTAAAAATGAAGTTTCTTAGGTTTGTGATTGAGATGCTGGCTGTTGGTCATTGGAAGGAAATGGATCCTTTGGAACTGGAAGGGATTTACTGGGCCATCAAGTCCTAACATATATGTATTTGGCTAAGGTTTAGCTACTTTGAATGTTCAGAGATTTAGCTAAACAGCAAGTAAAGTAAATCCCTGTGGAGCAAATAATCTTATTTCTTCTAAAAATAATTTTTTGTGAAATGTCTTGATTGTTTGCCATACCGATGATATCTAGTAGGTTTAGTAACTTAGAGGTGCCACTGCACTGACTTAAAATATTATTGTTGAGCAGAATACCTGTTAGTATCAGGGTGTGAGAACAGGATACAAGGAGAATGCCAGATCACTGCTCTAGCGAAGCAGTGGCAGAATACTGGGAAATTTGAGGCAGAAGTAATGACAAATTTTAGGAAAAACAACTACATACTTCCACAGCTGTTCAGAAACATAATCATTCTTCCTGCAGTTAAGGATCATTATGTTGTTTGGGGTTTTGGTTTGGTTTTTTTTTTAATGAGACTGTGGATAAACATGAACTTCTTGGTACAACTATCTGTGCATTTAGAATTAAACACGTTCTCATTGCTGAAAGCTCAGGCTGTGGCTACTTAGCATCATAAAGAAGTATGTCTAATATTAAAATAAGTAGCTTATCAAAATCATAGCTGTTGTATTTTAATGCTGAAATGCTTTTATTTATTGTGGAGGGGAAAAAAAGATGTATTATGGGATTGTGTCTCAGTGGATTTCTTAGGTTTGGCGAGCTTCTAAGTGTAAATATTGAAATCCAAAACTGTACAGAGGAGGCTTTTTTTAGCGGCTTTACAAATATTTTTAAGGATCTATTAATTTCTGTGTCTGTCCCTGGATTTTTTTTTGTTACAGATTTCACCATTACTAAAGCTATTGCTTCAGTAAGAAAATTACGGAAACTGTTTTCAGATTGTTCATACTCTGTATATTCGGAGCTTATAGTCACAGCTGGTTGAAGTGATGCAGTAGTACATAACTCGTTTAATAATCTTTGTATCCAGAAAGCTATAAATGCTGTGTGTGAAGATTCAACTTTCCTTAACAGTTTCTCTCTTCAGAAACTAGAACAACTCAATCAGTATCCAGATTTCAACAATTACCTGATTTTTGTTCTTACGAAGTTGAAGTCTGAAGGTAAGTTCTTGAGATATTGACTGTTTTATTCTACTTCTTTTTTTTCTGCCTTTTTTAAAAATGTATTTTGTTTAGCTGGAAAGAAATAGGAAGCTGATGCCTATAGTCAGTTTGCTGGTTGGTTGAGCTCCATAGTAATGTAGAACACATTTATCCTCTCCAGAGTCTTTATGGAAAAGAATCTGATAACCTATTGGTGCTTGTAGTTTCAGCCTTGGAATAGATTCCAGTCTAAATGTCCTATGAAATCTTTCCAGAAATGTTGGAGCGTCATGCCACTATCGACTGTAGTGAAATTGTGGAATAACTTTGAATTGTGACTATACACATTATAAAACATGCTGCTAAATTCAGTTATGATAATGATCTCCTTATTAATGAGGCTGTTACATATTTTGAAAATCACATACTAGAGTTGTCCAAAGATGATGGCTGTCAGAATCTTCATTCTGAAGTCTTAATTCTAGTAAAATGCAGTTAGAAATCAACTGGCTGCTTACTGTTGTCTTATTCTCACGGACATTAGTACAAACTGCATATGGCATACTGTGTAGCCTCTATCAGTTGATAAATTCAGACAATTCCTTAGTAATGATCACGCTGTATGAAAGATTGTCTTTCCAGCATACTACAGCTACTGGTTTGTGAGGTCTTTTACAGTGAAAGAAATTTGTTTGAAGGTCTGTTTTGGCACATCTGGCTGCTTTACGTTTGTTTGTGATTAATGTGTCCAGTTGTTTGAGTTGTTTTCTGGGTATTTTTCCCTAGTGTCCTGCTACCAGTACTTTTTCTGCCTTCTAGTGTTTCACCTCTGGATTTCTGGATGTTTGCTTTTTTCACTTTGAATTAGATTTTATTTACATGTGGCCCTGTAACATTCAAAGAATCAGCAAGAACATTTGTCTTAAGTTTTAACTAGTGTTTTGGTTGTGCTGTCAGCTTACTTCTGGAGGAAGGAAACAGAGAGGAGGAAGAAAGTATATTTTCGTGTTTGAAGGCTGGAGTATATTCTAATGTTTTTGTGTGTTCTATGTAGGAAGTCTCCTGATCATCTGTGAGGCCTTAGGGGAATACCTCAAGTTTGAGAGAGAGCTTTCAAGACGTGAATCAGCCAGGATATTAAATTTTTGAGCAAGGTGCCAGTGTAGATACAACATGTGCTTTATACCATTAACAGCAAAATGAAAAGCAGAGTGAGTCCAGTAGTGGGATCTGGAGTTTGTACAAACGATATGATGAGAATGCCGTTCCACATTTTTTTCCCAAAAAATTTGTTTTCTAACACTGCCTTACTTGCTAATTTCCCCTTCTTCATTCTGTGCACCACTTGAGCTTGAGGTTCTAGATACTGATGTGTGTTTAGCAATGTGTAAGAATCTGTCTTCCCAACAAATCTCCTTAGATTATCCGGTAGTCTTTCTTTTATACTTCTTAATGTTTACACACATCAATCTGTTTGGAATTGAATGAAGAGTAAGAGATGCTAACTATTGCAAAATGGTTGTATAAAGCTGTTTTATCTGAGGAGAAAAAAATAGGATCTGGTACAATCTGGCAAGCAAGTTGGGGAGAAGTAGCAAGTTAACTTCTAAGAAAAGGTGTTTGGGATCATACTGCACTGGTACCTCTCACAGGTACATCAGGTCTTTTGTGAGACTGCTGAGAAGCAGCTGTTGCTTCATAGATGCTCTTGTCCTGCATCAGTGACATTTTTAGAGTCATAATCTTTTGTCCAAAGCAACTATTTTTTAACTTTGTATTTCTAGTCCAGGAAACTTGCAGAATATTGAAGGTGCCATAACTGAGTCCAGTGTTGGTGCTCTTCATAGTATTTGCTATGTTCTAAATATCCTGTTACCTTGCTTGGGTAGGGCTAATGACAGAAGACTGTTGGTTGGATTTGCTTTGAATCCAACCAACAGCCCTCCATCGTCGATCATTAGTTCTGCCCAAGCAAGGTAAAGTAACTGTTAGAACAGCTATTCAGTAGCTACAATACTCTTGCATCCTTTTTTTGACGAGGAGGCAAAAATGCGATGGATTCATCAGGTAAATAACTGTTCAGTACAACTGGAAAGTATTCTTTCCTTTCCCCTCCTGAAGAGGGTTCTGTTGGTCGTCTGTCCTACAGCCTTGCCATGTTGGCTAGAGGAAAGAACTATACTTTACACCACGGACCAAAGCATAGATATTCATAATGTTGGAAGTTCACACTTCTGTTATGGCAGTACCATCCCAGCAGAAGAAGCTATCAAAGTAAGCTCCCAACATCACTGACAGCTTATTCAATAAAAATTAAGGTGTTTTGATAGTACATGAGAAAAAGAGCTTGGTTTGATAGCAGATGGGACACCTTTGATTCGGTTTTTACCACTGTTGAAACCACTGCTGAGAAAACTGTGCTTAAGGATACATTTAGGCGACAGCTCCTGAATGTGGGCATTCTGTAATGGTTGATTGAAATGTGTATTAAATACCCTCATTTTACTGCAGTGGAGGTTGTATCAAATTATTTTTGGCCCGAGTCTTATGACTCTGCAGGCAAATAACTTTGCAAGTAAACTTTTTATTTGCAAGCAAGTAACTTTGCTTGCAATTCAGTTGCAGAAAGTGTAACTTCTTTTTCCCTCCATTGTTAGCTTCATCAGGCTTCTGTCTGAATGCTGGTGGCTTGCTGGTTTTAGGTCTACTGTGGTACTCCTATATGTATGTGGTGGTTTTCTGCATTTTGTTTTTAAGTTCTGTGGGCCCTGTTAAGCTGTCAAAGCTTGTTAAGCTTGGGTCTTCCTGGAAACAGGTGTTGCCCTCCTACCATTTCATCAGTGAAAATATATGGCCTGGCTTGCAGCTATGGCATATACAGCCCCTAGCTTTAAGCACTTCCTTTCTTTTTCTTTTTTTCTTTTAACTAATGTGCATTTTTAAAGACAGTGTTGTGAATCTGGATGCTCCTCAATGTTACAAATATCACAGAATATAAAAAATGTTGAGGAAACAGCATTCAGTCCTGGAAGTCAGACAGTAGGCAAGCTAATGGAACAAAATACGATCCCAAGCCATTAAAGACTGAGGTATAGGTCTCTAGAATGTACTTCCCAGGAGGCATGGTGCTCAGAGATCTTCCTTAGTTGGGTGAGGTGGAGTCCAGATTAACTGAAAAATATCTAAATGAAAGAAGCTTGTTTTTACTAATTTATCTGTAAATTAAAAGATTACTCAGATGCTCTGTTAGTGTATCTGTTCCTTCTTGGTTTGGCAGGTGTAAAACCTGGTAGATAATGTGATTGCCCTGCCTTAGTGTTGGTGGTTTGTTGGTTTTTGGTTTGAGGCTTCTGTATTCTGTTAATGAGTTGTTTTCTGGAGTGTGTGCATATTGCTGCTGCTGCTTCTCAGATCACTTTCTGTATGTTTTTTATGGTTGACTGACACAGTCCAGTGCTGCAAGGGAATATCAGCTTTGCTGCTGTTGTTGCTTTCTTAGCTTTCCTGCAGTTTCCCTTCTTTGTTCCAAGTCATGCATCTAAATCCTCCTTTCCTTGTTCGCATTTTTGCTTCTGTAGTCCAAGTCTGTTCCCTTGAAGGAAAATCTGAGAAAGTATTGTCCTGATTTCAGCCTCCTTGCTGTCTTGCCTGAGGACAGTTCTAGTCTCTGGTTAAGGTACATTGAGGCAGTTGTCTAAGACATCTGAAGCATGAGGCAGGTCAGAGGAAGAACCTCTAGGTATCATAATATAGATAATTCATAGTGTAAGCGGAAGTTCCGAGTTTGTTTCGGACCTTGCTGATCATAATGATGAAATTCCCAAAGCTGTCTATATCAAAGCCTTGCTTTGTTTATACCTTCTGTAAATGAATGTTTATAAGATCCCTTTTTTCCCCATCTAAAATAGGCTGACAAAAATAGCATCCTTCTTAATTCATCTGTTTTGTCCTCTTGTAGGACAATGTATTGGGTTTGCATGGCAAGGTTTTGGTAGCGGGGGGGCTACAGAGGTGGCTTCTGTGAGAAGCTGCTAGAAGCTTCCCCTGTGTCCGATAGAGCCAATGCCAGCCGGCTCCAAGATGGATCCACCACTGGCCAAGGCCGAGCCCATCAGCAACAGGGGGAGCACC